TCAGTGATTCCAACAGATGCTACCAGGTGGGCGCCGACGTCACTGTTCGCACGGACCACAAGTCCCTACAGTACCTGCGAGCCCAACCCAACCTCAACCCACGACAAATTCGGTGGCTGGACTACATGGAGAGCCACTTCACCTACCGCATCACGTACAAAAAAGGGGCTAATAACATCTGTGAAGAATGAGGAATGAATGAACTAGCACAAGGTTGGGTACAAGTAGGAAACCCTAGGAAACTGTACCCCATAATGTCTACCCCACTATAGCCTACACAAGCTATATAATATGAGTTTAACACACCCCCATAGGCAAAGTGGGGGAGAACAAGAGGTCACAAGACCAGTTAAGCAAAGCAAAGCAAGCTCAGGGTGGATCACAACGTCACCACACAATCCGAGCACAAGAGCAAGGCCAAAAGGCCAGTTCACATGCAAGATCATATCTAAAGGTAAACAAGCAAGTGCAGGTATAAAAAAAACAAAAGATTACAATACAGCAAGATCAAGAAGTGAGCAAGTGAGGCCAAGTGGAAAACCTAACATCGTACAAAAGATAACCTAGCAAGTGGGCACAAGACCTAACATCGTACAAAAGCGCTGATGATCACAAGGCGGAAGTGCCTTGGTAAAGATATCAGCAGTGTTGGCCTCAGAGGCCACGTAAGCAAGGCGCAGCTGACCACGCTGCTGCAACTCACGAGCAAGGAAGTAGCGAAGAGCAATGTGCTTCGTTCTGTGCTCCAGTCTGTGCTCCCGACACAAGGCCAGCATGGCCTTGTTGTCTACGTACAGAACTGGAGGAGAACGAGGCGAATCTCCTAGGTGAGTCAGCAGGTAGGTGAGCCAGCGTAGCTCCCGTGCAGCCATGGCCCCCGCGTAGATCTCAGCCTCACAGCTGGAGCCGAGAACAGAAGACGAGCGGGTAGACCGCCACGAAACAGAGCCGGAGCCAAGGCTGAAGGAGTAACCCGTTGATGACCGCTGTGTAGCCTGGTCGTCAGCCCAAGAAGCGTCTGCGTGACCTGTGAGGACCACTGGACGTCGCCCTCCAAGCACTAGCCCCATGCCCGACGTACTGCACAAGTAGCGCAACACCCTCTTCGTTGTAGCCATGTACTCTGGTCGGTGTCTCCCAGGAGCAACATAGCGTGCCAAGATGCTAAGAGGGTATGCAAGGTCAGGTCGTGCGCAGGTCATCAGGTACATGAGGCAGCCAACAAGCTCTGGGTACGGGCCACTCGGCTCTACGGACTCATCCGAAGGCAGAGCCAAGAGCGAGTGGCGAGTAGACAGAGGAGTGGCCTGAGGCGAGGAGTACGTGAAGTCGAAGCGCTGAAGGACCTGCTGCACCATGTGTGAGTGAGTCAGGGTAATGGTGCGCTGTGCTCTGTCCCGCGTGATCTGCAAGCCAAGGTAGCTGCGAAGTTCACCCAGGTCTGTGCACGTGTGTCTCTTCTTCTGCTCGGACTTCACGTGGGCGAGTCTAGCAGTGTCAGCAGTGGCAAAGACCAAGTCATCGACGTACACAAGGATGTAGAGCGGCGGCAAAGAGGTGTCGGTGCGAAGAAACAGCGACGGGTCAGCTGTAGAGGGAGCACACAAAAGTACCGCAAGTGTAGTCCTCAGTATGTCGTGCCACTCACGGGGCGCCTGGCGGAGACCGTAGACTGGCCGCCGGAGGCTCCACTGGGTACCAGGAGGAAACGACCCAGTGAAGCCAGGTGGGCGGCGCAGCCAGATCTCCTCGTGCAGGCTGCCCTGCAGGAAAGCTGTGCTGAAGTCAAGAGAGTGAAGCTCGTAGTCGCGCTGAGCGGCTATGTGCACCAGCACCCAAAGAGTGGTCATCTTTGGGGTGGGAGAGAAGGTCTGAAACTAGTCAACTCCCTGCCGCTGACTGAAGCCTCGAGCCACGTAATGCGCCTTGAAGACAGGCGGAGAACCCGGCGGCCGCTTCACCCATAAAATCCACATGCCACTGACGATGTTCGCCCCTGGTGGGGGAACCTCGTCGACGTAGGTGCCTGTGGACTTCCAGGAAGCCATCTCTGCGTCCATGGCTGACTGCCACTGAGAGGAGTGGGGACCCTCGATCGCCTCAGCGTACGATCGAGGAGTCGGGATATCTGGTGCATCCGAGTCTCTCTCAGGGGCAATAAGCGTGGACACGAGATGAGGCAAAGCAGCAGCAAAACACTGGAACTCCTCCTGCCTGTCCTCAAGGACGTCCGTGCTAAGAGCAGACTCACCCCCGACGGACCGAGGACAGGCAGACTCCCACTCAGCAACAAGACTAGCAGCGTAGTCTAGACGATAGCGAGTCGCGAAGTCGACAAGCTCAGCAATTAGGGCAAACGCAGCAGTGGACTCAAAGGAAGGGTCAATGACAATAGTGGCCAGGAGACGCGTGACAGTAGGAGTGGCAGCACGAAGAGAGTCAGACTCAGGGTCAGCAAGAAGAGGAAGAGAGAACTCTGGAGGAGACGGCAACGGGACATGCAGAGGAGCAGTGGAAGGACGCAGTGCCATCTGGTTTGTGCCTAGGACCGCAGGAGGACGCGGACGCGACGCATGACCACTAGTGCGAGCAGCACAAATAGGCGACGCAGGACGAGACGCAGGCTCACGATGCTCAGCAAGACCTCGAGTAGGACAAGTGTAGGGAGAAGGAGCAGGTAGGGGGGAGGCGGGTTGTAACTGTGACTGCGACTGGACAGGCTATTGACACTCTAAGGGAGGAGTAGGATCAGTAGAGGGCGAGAGACCAAGAACCTGCTCAAGGAGCGGAACGAAGTACGACCGGCCGCGAGCGCCTCCAAACCCAGCATGGACAGCACCAGTACCCCCAGCTGCACCACCAGCGCGAGTATCACCTCCAGCTCCAACAGCGCCAACTCCATTACCCTCAGACGCACCAGCGCCAGCAGAAACACCAGCGCCAACACCCCCAGCAGCACTAGCTGCACCAACTCCAGCAGCCCCAGCAGCACCCCCAGTCCCAGCAGCTCCAGTACCGCTAGTACGAGCACCTCCGGGACCGGCAGCAACAGTAGTACCTCCAGCTCCAGCAGCACAGCTCAAGCGCAAGGCAAACCACTCGTGCAGCTCCTGTGGAGAGAGTGGCTCCCGCCTCGATGAAGCACTGCTGGCGACCACACGAGCAGACCCAGCGCCCCTAGGCTCCACACCCCCAGGCTCCGCACCCCTAGGCTCCGCACCCCCTGACTCAGCACCCCCAAGCTCAGCACCTCCAGACTCAGCACCCCAAGGCTTAGCACCCCCAGACTCAGCACCCCCAGTCTCAGCACCTTAGACTCAGCACCTCCAGACCCGGCACCTGCAGGCTCAGCAGCTCTAACAGCACCAGAGTTAACAGCTACCTCGACAGGCTCGACTGTGTCTACCTGGTACACACCTGACGGGGCAGGACCCTGAGGGGGGAGGAGGTCTACCAGGGGAGGACCTGGCGCAAGGAAGAGCGGGGGCGGGGGAAGGGGCGCACTGCGGTAGGGGAAGAGATGGTAGTAAGGTACCAACTCGTCAAAGGTGACGTCCTGGGAGGACAGAACACGGCGCGAGGTGGGGTGGTAGAACTGCCAACCAGGCGCGTCAGGGGGGAAGCCAAGGAAGACGCAGGGAACAGCACGGGGGGACAGCTTGTCCGCAGACAAGTCCCGGACAAACGCATGAGATCCCCAGACCCGAAACGCAGACGCATCGCCAACCTTCCTCGTCCACCGCAAGGTGGGGGAGGTCTCTGGCAAGGAGACCTGGGGCTGAAGGTTGAGCTGATGCGTGGCGTACTGAACCGCAAACGGCCACAGAAAATGGGGGGCAGCCGTATGGATCATGGCCGTACGAGCGACGTCCATGACCATGCCAATGCGGCGCTCAGCAATCCCATTTTGCTGTGGAGAGGCCGGAAGCGTGAAGGTGTGGCGCATGCCCTGTGCATGACAGAAGGCTCCCAGACGGGCAGAGGAAAACTCCACGCATCTGTCCGAGTGCAGACGCAGAACAGGAAAGTCCGTGACGGAACTCTCTCGGAGCCGGAGACGAGCTGCGCGGATCCAGTCGATCAACACCTGAGTGACGTCACCCTTGGTGCGCAAGGGGAAGACTCTGGTGTAACGCGAGTAGTCGTCAACCACCAACAGGAAGTAAGGCTCGTGCCCCTGTCCACGGACGCAGGCGGGGCCCCACACATCCATGTGGAGAGTCAGTAGCGGAGCCTCTGCCGGAGGAAACTCGGAGGAGTGAGGGGCGGCGCGCTGCCGCCCCTCGACACAGGGGACGCAGGTAGGGCCAGGCCCCAGAGGTAGGGGCAGCCCGACTCAGCAGCCGGAGGAGACTCAGTAGTAAGGGTGTACAGGCTCGACCCTGGCCGACGGGTGAACGTGGCCAAGTGTCGGCCTGTCAGAGCACACGTGCAGTGGGTCACCCGCTGACTCGCAGGAGTGAACTGGTCAACCCCCCTATCCTGTAGGTTCGCTCCACTCACCAAGTTCGTAAAGAACGAGGGGAGGTAGAGTCCTGACAGGGTGCCAGAGGGGGCTGCAGGGCACGGTAAGATAGTCAAGAAGCTAGCAAGGACAGGACCCCTAGAGGGGTCCGCCACGGAGACTGCAATTGGCCGACTAAGCAATGTAAGCGTGGTGCGGTCTCGAAAGAAGGAGCGGGACGCACCCGAGTCAAGGGTGAAGGTGTGTAAGGCCAAAGCCGACGTAGTACTTGAGAGAGCAGACTTACCAGCACGTGGGGCAGCAGAAGCACTAGCACCTAGAGCAGCAGCCTTACCAGCACCTAGAGCAGTAGCCTCAATGCCCGGGTCAGGCGGTACACACAGGTAACAGTCACCCTCAACACTAGCAGTCATAGCATACATGGCAGCAAGGATAGCATCATTGTCAAGATCAAAGATGGCAACCCTCGCCCTAGACAGATCTCCCCAGCGAGGGATCTCTGACGCCTCAGGGAACTGGTGACGCCACACGTCCGTCAGGCGGCCGAAGCAGCGCTGGGTGGAGTGCGGGCGCCCGCACTGCTCACCAGCGCGATCGCCGGTACGGAGGACATAAGTGCAGGGACCAGTACCCCCACCGCGCTGACGCGCAGCGTACCACTCACGAAGCTGCTGAGGGGACAGGGTCTCACGATTGCGCTGCCGCTGCTGGCGTGGACCACCACCGGACCCACTCCTCTGCGCAGAGTCGCGACCAGCTCTACCGCCGCCGCCGCTGCCGCCTCCGCCACCTCTGCCACCTTCGCCACCTCCGCCGCCTCCGCTCCCTCCGCCACCACCGCCGCCTCCTCCACCTCCACTGCTGCCACCGCCGCCGCCACCCCCGCCACCACTCCCACCACGACCCCCACCCCCTCCACTGCCACCACCACCACCTCCACGGCCCCCGCTAGCCCCTCCAGCTCCCTTGCCCCCCTTGCCCTTGCCGGTGCGGCGTCTCCCGCTAGGGGCAGACGCAGCGCCGACCCCGTAGAAACCAACGAGGTCGGCAAGAGCAGCAGATGCAACAGAGGGCAAAAGGGGGGAGGGGGAACACCCCTCTAAGACGGGGTTGCGAGGGTCACCACGAGAGGCTCCTACAGCGACTATGCTCTTCTTTGCTGCTAGGAGGCGCTCCTCGAGGAGCTCAACGGTGAGTGTGGTCAGGCAAACTGAGAGGAAGTGGTCACTGACTAAGTGAAGAGAGTCAGGGAGCCGGGTGACTATGTAGTAGAGGGTGATGTACATGGGGGGGGGGGGTTCTTGGCGCAGAACTCAGTGGGAAGCGCAGCGCGGTAGCGAGTCTCACTAGTGCGGAGGTGCGTAATGAGGTCAGCGACTGTGGGAAAGGCAGCAAGGTCAGGGAACAGGTACGGCAAGATGAGGCGGCTAAGAGCAGCAGTGGTAGGGGAAGAGTAGCGTGCAACTACAGCGTCGTACAACGTCTGAGCACTCTTGTACTGGCTAAAGTGTGACCGCTTAGTGGTCGGTAAGTGGCGACGCATAGCAAGACGGGCAGCAGCATCGGGTGTCGCCCACTGTGAGCAAACAGTGCTGTCAGCAGTGGCAGGCGGGGCAGGGGAGGCACCAGAGGTGAGGTTGAACAGGGAGAGGCCGTCTGCCCTATCGCACTGGAGGAACAGCTGGAGGTCATCGACCCAGACCTCAAAGTCAACAGCACGACCCTGAGTATCAAAGGTAAGAACACTGGGGGTAGCCATGACTGCAGTGGCCTAGCAAGGAGTGAGCTCACCAGTCGGAATAAGTAGGGCAGGGGCGCGCCGGTAGGACGAGGAGCGGCTCGACGGCAGGGCGGCTCGGCTGTTCAACGGCTCGGCTGCTCAACGGCTCGGCTGCTCAACGGCTCGGCTGCTGGGCGGCTCGGCGGCTGGGCGGCTCGGCTGCTGGGCGGCTCGGCTGCTGGACGGCTCGGCGGTTCGGCTGCTGGGCGGCTCGGCGGCTCGGCTGCTGGGCGGCTCGGCGGCTCGGCTACTAGGCGGCTCGGCGGCTCGGCTGCACGGTTGCTGGGCGGCTCGGCGGCTCTGCTGCTGGGCTGCTCGGTAGGGGCGGCGTTGGGGCTGTTAGGGGTGGCGACAGGGCCGCTTAGAGAGGGGAGCGGCGACGGGGCCGCTTAGAGGCGGCGACAGGGCCGCGTAGGGGCGGCAACGAGGCCGCTTAGGGTCAGCGACGGAGCCGCTTAGGGGCGGCGACGGGGTCAGTTAGGGTGAGAGGCGGCGACGGGTCCGCTAGGGGGGGGGCAACGGGGCCGCTAGGGGCAGCGACGCGGCCGCGTATGGGCGGCGACGGGGCCGCGTAGGGTGAGAGGCGGCGACTGGGCCGATAAGGGCGGCGACGTGGCCGCTAGGGGCGGCGACGGGGCCGCGTAGGGGCGGCGACGGGGCCACGTAGGGTAAGAGGCAACGTCGGGGCCGCTAAGGGCGGCGACGGGGCCGCGTAGGGTGAGAGGCGGCGACGAGGCCGCTAGGGGCGGCGACGGGGCCGCTAGGGGCGGCGACGGTGCCGCTAAGGGCGGCGACGGGGCCGCGTAGGGGCGGTAACGGGGCCGCTAGGGGCGGCGACGAGGCCGCTAGGGGCCACTAGGGGCCTGGAAAGGGCGGCAAAAAGGCGCGCCTCGGGCAGGAGCGACTGGCGCTCCGGTCAGAAAGGAAGTTTTTAGTGGTGGGCCCAAGGAAGCGTTCCCACTAGGGAACCTGCTCTATACCATGTGAAGAATGAGGAATGAGTGAACTAGCACAAGGTTGGGTACAAGTAGGAAACCCTAGGAAACTGTACCCCATAGTGTCTACCCCACTATAGCCTACACAAGCTATATAATATGAGTTTGACAACATCGCCGACGCCCTGACCCGACCGAGAGTACAATCCGCTGCAGTACTCATCACCCACTCGAACCCATTAATTACCGGACTATTTACCCACGGCTACACGACGGACCCATTCTTCACAACGGGAAATCATCAGCAAGCTACGACGCAGAAAGGGGACTATTACCTAAAAGCCAGAACCGAACGGATTTGGGTTCACGCTTACCGAGTGCTGCGTGAACTTCTCATCCAGGAGATCCACGATTCGAACTTCTCCAGACACTTCGGGGTTGATAAAATCCAGAAACAACTGCACTGTCAATATTACTGGCCTGATTCATCAAACGACGTCCAACGCTATGTGTCCTCATGCAAGGTGTGCCAAGCAATGAAATCGACACGTCAGCGACCAGCAGGGCTGCTGCAACCCCTCGAGCCACCCAAACGACCGTGGCAGCAAGTGACGATGGATTTCGTCACGGGGATGCCAGCTGGGCCGACAGGCAACGACGCTGTTCTCGTCGTCGTCGATCGCTTCACAAAAATGGCGCACTTCGCACCATGCCGAACAACAATCACAGCCAAAGAAACTGCGCGCCTCTTCATCTCAACGGTCGTGCGACTGCACGGCATCCCTTCGGCGATCATCAGCGACCGAGACCCAAAGTTCACATCCAAGTTCTGGAAGGAAACATGGGCGCAGTACGGCATGAAGCTACAGTTCTCATCGGCATACCACCCACAGACGGACGGTCAAACCGAGCGGACCAACCAGACCATGGAGCAGCTGATCCGGACAAACTGCCCCGACCCTGCCCGCTTGGAAGACTCGCCCGCGATGTTGGAATTCGCTTTCAACAACGCACGGTCCAGCACGACTAATCACTCCCCATTTTTCCTGAATTACGGGATGGACCCGACAGTTCCCACGACAACTACTCTCGACAATCCGATCCCGAGGTCACAGACTTTCATGACAGAACTTCAGGAAGTCCGAGAAAAAGCCGCAGACGCAATTCGCAAGGCGAATATTACTTGTCAGAATCCCAACCACTAGACCATTGGGATAAAAGGGCTTGTTTCAGTAGCGGGTCAGTGCGCCCATAACCCCACAGGCAAACGCGCCTGTAACCCCCCTTAGGATCGATCGGGGATCTCACAGTGTAGCTCTACTGACACCCCCCCACACTCGGAGGCCTAGGACTGAGCACAGTGGCAACGGCCAACATGTGCCTACACCGGGATTCGAACCCGAGACCGCTCTGATACCATGTCAAAATCCCAACCACTAAACCATTGGGATAAAAGGGCTTGTTTCAGTAGCAGGTCAGTGCGCCCATAATCCCCCAGGCAAACGGGCCTGTAACCCCCCTTAGGATCGATCGAGGATCTCACAGTGTAGCTCTACTGATATTACTTCCCGCAAATACACCAACCTTCTACGACGGGAACTCGTCTTGACAACTGGGCAACTAGTGCTTCTTGACACGAAGAACCTGCACCTGCCCGGTCCATCGAAACTACGGCCACGATTTTGCGGACCGTTCAAGATTCTCAAGATGGTGACACCTGTCACCGCGAAGCTGTTGCTACCCGACGATTGGCGCATTCATGACGCCTTCCACATTAGCCTTCTTCCGAAGTTCGTGCCAGCAATGACCGACATCGCACATCAGCAAGCTGCCCCGACAGCACGACCTGTCCCAGATGTTGGGCTGGAAAGGCCCTTAGGATCTTTGCAGGGGTGAACTCTAAGTAGAGTTGGTGTAGTAGCGGAAGCGTTCATTAAAGAGTTGTGAACCACCTTGCGCTAGTATGTGAGGGCAAAGTAAGTTGATTAAAACAAGGAGATACAAGATTGTATAAGAGTACAAGGAATATGAAAGGATACGGTTATAACTGTTTTACTTGTTGCTGTTGCGGTTCGATACAGTGACAACTCGGGCAACTGCTCTGTAGCAAGTCAGTTGTGTGTCCTTGCTGTCGCGTTGTACTTGTCAGGTCAAAGGTCGCTGACCTTTGACTTTCGCGTAACCTCCAGCAGTTACTTCAACCTCCGAGGGTTGACTCGCTGGTGCCTCGATATGCTTTGCTTCGCTTGTGTCTTGATGTTTCGATACGATAGAGGCGCTTAGGACCGACTGTTTCCAACACTCCCCTTCGCTTCTGGAGTGTCGCTGACGTGGCTCTATCCCGTCAGCAGCATGCAGTATTCGAACTTCTGCTTTCCGAGCTTCTTGGTCAGGTAGTCAGCTGCCATCTTGGATGTGGGACAGTATGACAGCTCGAGCCTTCCCTTCTCGATCTCATCCTTCACGAAGAAATATCACAGGGCGATGTGTTTTGTCCTGTTCGCGAAGCCGTTCTTGTTGGCGATGCGAATTGCCGACTTGCTGTCGCAGAACAGGGTAAAGTTGGGTAACTCGGCTAACTTCGCTTCTTCCAGCAGCTCGCGAAGATAGAGTCCTTCCTTGGTGGCTGAGCAAAGTGCAATATATTATGCTTCAGCTGACAAGAGAGCAATTAATTCCTGCCTGCTCGATTGCCAAGAGATAGGTCCGATAGGTTTGAGGCGGTAGATGTAGCCGGTGCGTGAGCGCCTATTGTCGGAGTCGCTAGCGTGATCAGCGTCGACGTAGCCGATTAACTTAGTCGGTGTGGTTGCGTTCTTGTAGTAAGTTAGGCCGATCGTTGGGGTGCTGACGAAGTAGTGAAGAGCGCGGTCGAGCTCCGCCAGATGTTCTACTTCAGGCTTCTTGAGGTAGGTGGCGAGTTGGCTTGCGGAGTATGAGAGGTCGGGGCGACAGTGAGAAGAATTGAACGAGAATGAAATGAGTATGAACGAAGTGAGTACAAATAGGAAACCCTAATTGTGTTGTACCCCCTATGGGATACCCCACTATAGCCTAAACAAACAAGTAAGCTATGTGTTCTGACACACCCCCATAGGCAAAGTGGGGGAGAACAAGGGGTCACAAGACCAGTCAAGCAAAGCAAAGCAAAGCTCAGGGTGGATCACAAAGTCACCACGCATTCCGAGCACAAGTTCAAAGGCCACAAGGCCAGTTCACATGCAAGATCATATATAGAGGAATACAAGAGTCAAGCAAGCAAGAGCAAGAGTATATATATGCGAAGGTACAAGCAAGGTCAAGAGGAGAGCAAGTGAGGCAAGACAGGCACAAGACCCAACTGCGTGCAGCAACGCTGATGATCACAAGGCGCAAGTGCCTTGGTGAAGACATCAGCAGTGTTGGCCTCAGAGGCCACGTACGCAAGTCGCAGCTGTCCACGCTGCTGTAGCTCACGAGCAAGAAAGTAGCGAAGAGCAATGTGCTTCGTTCTGTGCTCCAGTCGCTGCTCTCGACACAAGGCCAGCATGGCCTTGTTGTCTACGTACAGGACTGGAGGAGAACGAGGCTGCTCTCCAAGGTCGGTCAGCAAGTAGGTGAGCCAGCGTAACTCCTGTGCAGCCATAGCCCCAGCGTAGATCTCAGCCTCACAACAGGAGCCGAGAACAGAAGACGAGCGAGTAGCTCGCCACGAGACAGAGCCGGAACCAAGGCTGAAGGTGTAACCCTGTGACGACCGCTGCGTAGCCTGGTCGTCAGCCCAAGAAGCGTCTGCGTGCCCAGTGAGGACCACTGGACTGCGCCCTCCGAGCACTAGCCCCATGCCCGACGTACTGCACAAGTAGCGCAACACCCTCTTCGCTGCAGCCATGTGCTCTGGTCGGTGTCTCCCAGGAGCAACAAAGCGTGCGAGAATGCTAAGAGGGTATGCGAGGTCAGGTCGTGTGCAGGTCATCAGGTACATGAGGCAGCCAACAAGCTCTGCAAACGGGCCACTCGACTCTACGGACTCATCCGAAGGCAGAGCTGAGAGCGAGTGGCGAG